TGCTTCCAGTTTTGGGCTCCACAATTCAAAAAGGATGTGGAGAAGCTTGAGAGAGTCCAGAGAAGAGCCACGCGCATGATCAGAGGTCAGGGAAGCAGACCCTACGATGACAGGCTGAGAGCCCTGGGGCTCTTTAGCCTGAAAAAGCGCAGGCTCAGGGGTGATCTGATGGCCACCTACAAGTTTATCAGGGGTGACCACCAGTATCTGGGGGAACGTTTGTTCACCAGAGCGCCCCAAGGGATGACGAGGTCGAATGGTCACAAACTACTTCAAGATCGTTTCAGGCTGGACATAAGGAAGAACTTCTTTACAGTCCGAGCCCCCAAGGTCTGGAACAGCCTGCCACTGGAGGTGGTTCAAGCGCCTTCATTGAACACCTTCAAGATGAAACTGGATGCTTATCTTGCTGGGATCCTATGACCCCAGCTGACTTCCTGCCCTTTGGGCAGGGGGCTGGACTCGATGATCTTCCGAGGTCCCTTCCAGCCCTGATGTCTATGAAATCTATGAAATCTACTTCTCACGCTAATGTGACTAGCTGTAGTCTGTTTTTAAATGTTGTGCTTATAGTCAATGCATGCAAGTCTAGTAACTAAAACTGGTAAGAAAAGCAAAAGGAAACAAGGAGAAATTGATGGTTGGCTTGGTTATTTATGATATAATTTAGGTGTTATATTTTCTATAACCTGTATACAATAAGAAACAGTTTTTCAAGTATGTTGAGTATCTTAATGTATTTCTGCACCAAGAGCAGGGATTTCTTTATGCATTGCTACTAATTTTGTTTTGAGTCAGGGTAACTTTTGAATTGAAGGCATTTGAACAGTTTTTGATCAAATTCCCAAAGGAAGACAGGGTCCAATGGTCACAAACTGCTAAAAGACTGTTTTAGACTGGACATAAGGAAAAACACCTTTTCTGTCTGAGTCTCCAGAGTATGGAATAGATTCCCCACAGAAGTTGTGCAAGAACCTACTTTGAACATGTTTAAGAAGTGTTTGGATGATTATCTTGCTGGGGTCATATGACCCCAGCTGACTTCCTGCCCTTTGGGCAGGATGCTGGACCTGATGATCTCACAAGGTCCCTTCCAGCCCTAATGTCTATGAAACTTATGAAGTTGGTATCAAGTTGCTTGCTGTACCTCCCCAGCCATGATGTACTAATTTTATCATTCAACCCACTCTAGATAGGGTGGTTATCATTTCTGTTCTGTAAACAGCTAGAGCACTTGCATCTGAGTTGATATGTGAAACTCCATCCAGCTCTAAAGTTTTTCTGATTGACAACTTATTACTGGCTTCCTTTAATCCTCCAATTGTAAATGTTACATTGAGATGTCAAAGATCACCTTCATAAATGGAAGTTTTTGACCAGCCAATCAGCTTGATGAAGTGAAAAGAGCAGCTCCTAAATGAGTGAAAGTGTCTTCATTTACTTTAACTTAAACTTCTAAAGAACTGATTTCTGCCCAAAAACATTTACTTGTAATTTTTGTTTCAGCTGCCGAGATTTAAGTTAAAAGTCTTTCCTTATTCTGCAGTAACCTTGTTTATGACAAGTTTATTTCACATGTGGCTAGTACAGTGTTACATTAAATTGTACTACTTGTCCTTGAAAGCCTTATAAGCTTCTGCTTTAAGCATTAGCCAGATTGTTCTTTGTCCCATCTCTGTGAAGATACCATTCTTGATAGTCCAGAAAGTAAAACAGACCTAAAGATTATCTCTTATAAGCTGTAAGCAATCTTACAGGTCAGGTAGTTCTATCTGCATATCCTTCCTAATGTTTGTACAAAGATGCCTGTGCATTCTGTTTAATTTCTGTTATCAACATATCTTGGAACCTTAGTTCCATTAAAAAAAAAAAGTTGGGGATCATAATTTATATGTTTAAAGAATGGTATCAATGCGTGTATGTGTCTGAAATTTATTTGCAAATTAACCCAAACCTTGATGATCTGAGCCAGGGAGGACAGTACATCAGACTACAAAAGCTATTAAAGTAAATAGGATAGTTTGACAGTGGTGACCTGGAAAGAGGTATTATCCTCTTGGAATTCAGTTGTCATCCAGGACTAAGGCAGTTTCTATAGCATGTAATCACATTTTATTTATTATTCTGTGTTGCAGGACTGCTATTTGTAGATGTTTCCTGCAAAAATAAATGGTAGGGAAGTTGATATTGTTCATCTTTTATGCTTATAAAAAATATATAAAAAAGAAGAACAAAATCAATTTCACTACCAAACTGAGGATCAGGGCTC